AATACCATTTTACGTTAACTTTTTGGTTGGAAAAGTAGATTTATTTAAAATGATATTTTTTTGTAACTCAGAATGATATTATTTTTTCAGAGACCGAATATGTGCTTCTTATTTGCATGAAGACTATATAATAAGATCCCAAGTTAATAATAATAAAAAAAAAACACTTGTTTCTGTATGATAGGAGCTTGTAATGGCGGCACCAGACAATCCATCAAACGCCGTCGAATGGGCCATGGCGGAGATGGTGAACAAACCGGAGATCCTCCGCAAAGCAATGGAAGAACTCGACAGAGTTGTCGGAAAAGAAAGACTTGTCCAAGAATCCGACATCCCAAAACTAAACTACATCAAAGCCATTCTCCGTGAAGCCTTCCGTCTCCATCCCGTCGCCGCCTTTAACCTCCCACACGTGGCACTCTCCGACGCAACCGTCGCCGGATATCACATCCCTAAAGGAAGTCAAGTCCTTCTCAGCCGTTATGGGCTGGGCCGTAACCCGAAAGTTTGGGCCGACCCACTTAGCTTTAAACCGGAGAGACATCTCAACGAGTGTTCTGAAGTTATTTTGACGGAGAATGATCTCCGGTTTATATCGTTTAGTACCGGAAAAAGAGGTTGTGCTGCTCCGGCTTTAGGTACGGCGTTGACGACGATGATGCTCGCGAGACTTCTTCAAGGTTTTACGTGGAAGTTATCTGAGAATGAGACACGTGTTGAGCTGATGGAGTCTAGTCATGATATGTTTTTGGCTAAACCGTTGGTTATGGTCGGTGAGTTGAGATTGCCTGAGCATCTTTATCCGACGGTGAAGTGAAACAATGGTGTATATACTTTGATACTTATTATATAACATCTAAGTTTGGTCAATCTTAATTTACAAAATAAAAAAAAAAAAAAATGTTTGGTCAATCTCCGGTTACCAGAAGTTAATCGGCCGAGTTGTGATCAAACTTGTGTATGGTTTTGGTTCCTTTGGGGACACTTGAAGTGTATTTTGTAATAATTTTAATAAAATTTTCTCTCTTTTTTTCTCTTTTTATAACAAGAAGACTATTCAATTAATCTATATCTCTCATAACAAATTTTTTTTTTTGTGCGTTTAAAAATTTGAGCAAAAGTAACTTGCTTTTCCAGTCCCTCAATTATTTATAAATTTAAATTATACATGTGGAATTAGATAAAGTTCAAAAAAAATTGTATTAAGTATAGTAAAACATCTAATTGTTAGAATGTTTTTAGTTCAATTGCTTCATGGAAAGTTCATCAATACTTTTTAAAATAGTGATTCAAATTCTGTAAAATGCATTATCCAGACGTATTATTTTATGGATTTAAGAGGATTCAGGGTAGGTCTTGTTTGTATTGTAGTGTGCTATTTTATGTTTGAATTTTCTTTTTGACTAATGAAATGAAATATTTATTAAACAATAACAAATGTACACTTGCAGAAGAAAAAGACAAAAATGAAAAGGAGACAAATGTTATGTATTAAGCTGCAGTGACAATGGTTTGAAGCAGAGTTTCCAGGTCTTTCAAGCTACGAACAAAGACAATACACACCATAAGTTAGCAAATGGATAACTGTGAGAAACTTCAAGTCTGATATACGACCCTACTTACCTCACATTACTGAGATCAGGGTATACAGCAATCGCCTCTTTGAAATCCTGAAAGAACACGTTTTCAACTATTATCAAACCAAGAAAGAAACTAGTGATAATGTAAGAAATATATGTTGTAAAGCATACCTGATCAGATGTTGAAGAAGTGTATGTGATCACACATGACATGCCTGCTTTTGTAGCAGCCTATTTAGATTGAAAGACAAAAGCCATTTATCAAGATTGTGTGTTCAAGAACCGAGTTTAGGATGTTTCAAGAAGTAAGAAACTAGAAAAATATCAGATATTTACTTGCAAGCCAATGACACTGTCTTCTATGACCAAACAGTCTTTCACTGAAACACCTAGCTTCTGCAAACAACATAAATACAGAACGTAACACTTGGTTACTTCTTGCCATGTTATATTAGACTTCGTTTACTTGGACATCTATTTTACCTCAGCAGCTGTTATATATATAGAAGGATCAGGTTTTTTCTCCTTAACATCATCTCCTGAAAATCCAAATATACAAAATAGATTGAATAAAACCATAGAAAAATGTTCGACATATAAAAAGGACACAAAGTAAGTAACTCAAAACAGAACATGTAATGAAATAACCTGCAAGGAAGCAATCAAGTCCTTGGAATCGCTCCTTAAAAGGCATAAACATAACCGAGTTAACAAAACAATGTCTATGAGAGACAATGATAAAAGCAAACAACTCACAATTTGGATTAGATTCTCGAGACATAATATAACTGAACTCTTTGTAGCTGCAGAACAAACTGCTAGTTTCTTCCCCTGTATCATCATTTCAAGAACCAATTCTTAATTAAAAAAAAATCTTTGCATTAGAATATTTTAAGCAAATCATGTTATTACAGCAGCTCTTGCTTCATCCATTAGCCTTATTACACCAGGTCTTGCTTCTACCTGAAACCAAAAAAAGCTTAGAGATTTAGTTTCTCTCTTTGATGATGTTTACAAGATCTCTATACTTACACTTCCTGACTTTATGATCTCTTTGTACCTCTCTGTTTTCCAATCCTGCAAAAATCAAAGTAGAGACTTCTCGCATTTAATTTGATTTTTTTTTCTTGTTAGTGCAAGAAATGTGAGTGAATAACCTGAAGAGCATCGATCAACTTGGCTCGATCATCGTCACTCTCAGGAGGTGAAGCAAAAAGGGTCGAAGTTGGCCATCCATTTTCTCTAAAGTACCATCTCATTTTAGGTTTACCACCTCCGACAAGATTCTGAAACTTGTCGTAGAACTCAAGGCTCCAGTTGAGAGACTCTGATGAAGAAGGAGGACATCTAACATCGAAATGCGAGAAGGCGTCGTTGTAAGCTTGACGATGCAAGTTCTCGGATTCGAGTATGACACCGTCGCAGTCGAAGATCAGAGCTTCGAGAGACCGTGAAGAAGAGGATGCAGTGACTGTAGAGATCCTCGCTTTCTGATAAACGTTTCTTGATTTGAAACGCAGCGTTTGGAGACAAGGGAAGCGGTTGAAGCCAACGGTGGAGGTGGATGGTGGGAAGAGAATCGATGAGTGGCTGCAAGAAACCGCCATTGTTAAATCTTTCTCTCTCTCTCTGTGGATCCGAGCTGCTCTGACTTAGATAAAATAAAAAATGTGTGGTCTTCCTTGCGTGTAACGGTATTTAACTAACTTTTCTATCGTACACCAAATGGCTCTTGGTCACAAAGGCCCATTAACTTAGCTTGGCTTGAAACTTAAATGGGCCTGCTCCAGGAATTAGGGCTCTTTCGCTCTCACTTGAAGAACAAGAAAGCGTTTTCCCCTAAACCATTGTCAAAATATTAGGCTATGAGTTTCTGATTACAATCACTTTTTCTATCACTTTGAGCCACCATTCCATGAAAAGGAGACTAAGATATATTGAATTTTTTATCTTTTATAATTGGACCAAAAGATTCAACAACCTTTTTAATAAGAACATTAAACTATCTGGATCACACTCTATTGGGGAGGCTAGATGTTTCTCGATCATGTCTACTCTCTATATAACCATTCGGGTTCAGGAAAAATCTGACCCGGCTCTCGAGCCAATTTACTCGGAGAAGTTGAGCTAATTGTGCCCCAAGGGAGGAGATGAGAACGTTACAAGTGGTATGGACGCAACTAATCAAGTATTTGATAACATATTTCAAAGACTTGGTTTCAAGGAGAGGATTTCTTAACTCCGATCAGACGTTGTTTACTTCGCCGGAGATGAGAGATTATGTGAAAAATGTTTTGTGAGAACGAAACCGATTTTTTTTATGCCGAAGGGTTGCTTGCAGGCCACGAAACCTGCGGAGATTAGGTTAAATTGTCGAGTCGTTAATCAAAAGAACCCTTAGCTCTAATCGATATTGCCAATATCATATTGGTATTGAACTAAAGAAACATTTTATACGAAACTTCGATAATAATTACACTTCAAGAATGCATAAAGCTTTTACCCAAACACATGGAAGGTATATGAATGAAAGAGATTTTAAAATTCTATCAAACACGTCTCTTTGCAATTCCCTTTTATACTTGTCAACTTTGTATCAAAATATTACTTGTCCCCAAATATTTTAAGACTTTTTAGCCCAAAATGTTACATTTAACAGAGGTAGGTGTATTAGCTGTAGCAGCAACGCATTAGCCAGCTGACTCGGTTGAAGTTAAAACGGAAAATAGAGTTTTCAAAAATTAAATGAAAATATTATACTCTATGAAGCATGAGAAAGTCATCAACTTGAAAAAAAAAAAAAGTGAACTTGTTTTTCTTTTGTCAACGTTATCAACTTGTTAAGCAAGTAATATTCACAATTAATTGTTTGACCTTAACGGTAAGTCATAAATATAAAATAGCCTCAGAAACTGAATGTCTTCAATGCCTCTCCTATTGTCACGATCATTACAAACTTATGTTGTTTTGTTTGTTATTTTCTTGGCAAATTGTACGATGATATATTTTCACCTCAAATCGTTGATTAGCTTTAGCTTGACCCTATCGAAGAGACAAACTATTCGTATGGAAATACATGATTGACAATAGCAGAAGCACAATCTAGTGGATTGGACTATTTCATTAAACAAGTTAAGGAAATAACTACTAAAAGTTTGCATAAAACACACTTATATTACCCTAAGTTGACAAATGTTTAATATTATAACTTTTTTAAGTTAGACAAAAAGTCAAAAATAGTTATAATAGTTTACCCTTTTCAAGTTTATTCGAGACAACTTTTACTTGTTGCCAGTTTGCTACTCCTTAGTAGTGTATATAAATACATTGTAGTCTTCAAATTTGATCTCTCAACTTAATACTAAACAAAACTGATTACATTTGCAATCTGCCGTTGATTCCATCCGTTTCGAATGAACGATGACACGTGTTCAGGGTTTTTGGATTATCTTCCACTTAATAACAGTCTTCCACGTGGCTAACGCACAAATGCTCGCGCCACCGAGTCAGAACGAGTTGCAACCGGGTCAAACTCCGCCGAAGAACAAGGTCATCGGCGTTCTCGTCACCGCCTTTTTCTTCTTCGGGTTACTATCCGTCTTTGTACGCAACTGCAGGCAAGCTAATCCCGAAAACTCCCCCCGCCGCGCTTACGACGGCGTTTCACGGTGGGGAGGCCTTGACGACGCGGTGGTTGAGAGCTTCCCGGTCTTCGCTTACTCCACCGTTAAGGAATCTAAAATCGGATCCGGTGATCTCGAATGTGCGATTTGCCTTAACGAATTAGAGGATCGAGAGACGGTTCGGTTACTTCCGGTTTGCAATCATCTCTTCCACGTTGATTGCATCGACGCTTGGCTTTACTCTCACGCGACTTGCCCGGTTTGCAGATCAAAACTCACTGCTAAACCGGTTAAAACCGGATATCCGGTTAGTGATCACGTGGTGATTGATATCACGGGAGATTCGGAGACCGTTGAGGAGGCGAAAAGCCACCACCGACGGTCGAGTTCTGAGATCGTCGGTAAGTTTCCGCGGTCGAATTCCACCGGTCATTCGATGGGGAGACTCGGTGATGGCACTGAGAGGTTTACTCTACGGTTGCCGGAGGAGGTGAGGAGGCGGATACTGGCGGCGGAGAAAGGACGTAGGCTGAAGCGAGCGAGAAGCTTCGATGCTGATTTGATGGATAGCGGGTATGTAGTCAGTCGGGTGGGAAAATCGGATCGGGGTTAATTGGGTGGATCGATGGAGTTTGTTTGTTGCAAAGTCATCTAACGGCGATTCGTTGACATGATGAAACGTTATAGTTTGCTTGCGTTAACCACGCTCTGGAGTGGTAAGTGGTGAGTATTATTTATTTGATACACGAATGGTGGTGACTACTTAAAATATTCATTTGTTGATGAATACCATTGACTATTTGTTTTGTACATTAAAAGGGTCCAGCTTGTTTAGTGACTCGCTAAACAAGTTTTCTAGATTATGTAAGAGTGCTTATAATATATGATTTAATGAAGACATTGTTTAAGTTTTTATGTCATTATGTTTTTCTAACACTTGTCAAATAAATTTTTTATACATCATATAATATTGTATTCTATGAATATGATAATCAACTATTTTTGTATATGCCAACATAATAAATAATTTCACGAATAATGATTCAACTATATAGTTTCCTCATAACATTTGAATTGATGAACGGTTCTGCATCTATCGACGGGTACAATTGATGGACATTCTCTATTTGTAGTACACCACAAAAAAAGATTCTACCTACAATACTTTAAAATCTTCAAAAGTTTGCATCTTATAATTTGTGTAAGAAATTATATTTGTTTTCTTTGTAATAATCGTATCCCAATTCTGTAAGAAACCTTTAACTTTTAATCAGTAGACCATGATATTTCTTACATATCACTATGGTTGTTCTACAAATAGACCGGTTCCTAATTTGTCGGGAGAGAGGCATTGATATGTAAGCAGCTTTCATCGTATAATGAATGAATATCATTTGTTACACTTTGAGAATTTGTGAAGCCAAAATCAAATTTATGGTTTGTATTGAAATCACGACTGCCAATTACGTGAAGCATACACTGATGTATTTAGGCAAAATAAATATGTTTTTACTATACCAAGTATATAAATTATTTGCATGATGATATACATCAGTTATAGACGTACGGTTAGTTAATATCCCATGTTCGGACAACTGTATAGTGCATCTGAATTGGTGTTATGCGCGACGGTGTGTTGGATATGTTTCTACCTTTATTAACACGGTGACCACACGTTTCACTACGACTAGCCCGTGTTTTTGAACAGGGAAAATATCATAACTATCATTTAAATCGCTGGAACAGTGTATTAAGCGTTATAATCCACCATAATCCAATTAAAATTTTGTTAACCAATTAAAAGAACACAACCTGGCCCAGCTCATAACCTACATAGTACCAACCCACATTATGTCAAATTCTTTTCGACCCACATTCTCTTGTCCAAATGGGGGAGAATGAAATAATTTAAAACTTTGGAGTAAAGAGATGACATGCCTCCACATTTTTTATCCAGTTTATGATAATGATGGACCACAAAATTGTAGCTGCTATTATAGGCCTGTCCCCTTTTTTTTTTTGAACAAACCTTCAATTATAACTCAAATAAGTCTCATACAGGAATAGAAGTATTCATCAAGGCTACTTTAGCTAAAGAGTCAACTTCAGAGTTTAGTAGCCTTTGGGTATACGAACGCTGACAATTTTGTCAGATTCAAAGTCCCTTGTCACAGCCATATCTCACAGTGAGAAGGTTGTTGAAGCCCAAGGAATTATGTTTGATATTGCGCACTTGTTTAATTCCTTTAGGCCTGCTCCTTTTATTATATAAGATTGTTATTGAATTCTGAAATCGATTTCTCTTGTCTAGTTCTAAGGTTGAAAATAGGTCTAGTTTGACGTTTCCGTACACGTTACAGCGTAACAACTTGTAACTTAAAATAAATATACACTGAAGCAACTACAGGATTAGCTTGAAACAAGATATTAATATAAAATGAATTTGGATCATGATGCACATGCACTTTGAAGATAACTCAAACACATTTAAGATATTTGAGTGCAAAATATTTTAAAATTCTGTTAGGTACGTCTCTTTGGATTTAAAACTTGAAGTATCGAGATTCTGCAATTCTCTTTTATTCTCATCAACTTTATGTCAATATTACTTGTAACTCTCATATATGTTTTTAAGACTTCTTAGCTCAAAATTTTGGTAAGTGTGTTAACACTAGCGCACAAGGCAGGTGACTGGGTTGAAGTTAAACCTGAAAATATAGTTTAAAACAATAATTAAAATGAAAATATTATCATCAGACAGAAAAACAAATCATCAACTTGTTATTCAATATAGCTTCTGTTACGTTGTCAAGATCATTAGGATTGTTAAGCTATACCACTTATCTACTTGTGCTGTTCTGTGGGCTAGCTTGTTAATTTCTTGTCTGAAATCAAGGAAAAGGCAAAATGTACGATGATAAATTCTGACCTCAAATCATTGATTAGTTTGACCCTATCCAAGAGACAAACAATTCGTGTATCTGCATTGAACATGTAGATAGACATGACTGACAACATATAAAGGAAGCACAATCTAGTGGATTAGACTATTTCATTAACCAAGTTGAGGAAAATAATCACTAATAAATGCAATATTAACGAACTTATCTTAGTACAAGTTGACAAAATGTTACCTATTTAAAAACTTTAAGCAAATCAAAAAGTCAAAAATAGTTATAATAGTTAACCTTTTGAAGTTTATTCGAGACTGTTTCTTCCCTTCTCTAAGTATATATATACATAAATTGCACTCTTCGAATTTGATATCTATCAACCTTTGTACCAACAAAACCAACAAAAACTTATTACGTTTTGCAGCTCGACGTGGACAAACTTCTGCCGTTAATCTCCATCTAACGGTTCCCTTCGAATGAACGATGGCGCGAGTTCAGGGTTTCATTTCTCACCGCTGGATCATCTTTCAGTTAATAACAGTCCTCCACGTGGCTAATGCACAATCTTTCTCACCACCGAGTCAGCCCGAGTTGCCACCGGGTCATGCTCCGTCGAAGACCACCGTCTTCGTCGTTCTCGTCTCCGCCTTTTTCTTCTTCGGGCTACTCTCCATCTACATCCGTAACTGCACGCGAGCTAATCCCGGACACTCCACGACAAACTCCCGCCGCCGCGGCACTTACGGCGGATGTTCACGGCGGGGAGGCCTTGAAGACGCGGTGGTTGAGAGCTTCCCCGTCTTCGCTTACTCCTCCGTTAAGGAATCGAAAATCGGATCCGGTGATCTCGAATGTGCGATTTGCCTTAACGAATTAGAGGATCGCGAGACGGTTCGGTTACTTCCGGTTTGCAATCATCTCTTCCACGTTGATTGCATCGACGCTTGGCTTTACTCCCACGCGACTTGTCCGGTTTGCAGATACAATCTCACTGCTAAACCGGTTAAAACCGGAGCGGAAGATCAGGATCCGGTTAGTGATCACGTCGTGATTGACATTATCGGAGATTCTGAGACCGTTGAGGAAGCGAAGAGCCATCATCTACGGGAAATCGTCGGTAAGTTTCCGCGGTCGAATTCCACCGGTCACTCGGTGGGGAGACTCGGTGGTGGATCCGAGAGGTTTACTCTACGGTTGCCGGAGGAGGTGAGGAGGCGGATAATGGCGGCGAAAGGACGTAAACTGAAGCGAGCGAGGAGCTTTGATGCTGATTTGGTGGTGGATAGCGAGTACGTATTCGGGTCGGGTGTGAAGTCGGATCGGGTTAGCTGGGCGGATCGATGGAGTTTGTTTGTTGCAAAGTCAAACTCTGGTTCCGTTAGATCACTTAACGGCGATTCGTTGACATGAGGAAACGTTAAAGTCAAGCGCTGGAGTGGTAAGTGGTGAATATTATTTCTTTGATATACGAGTGGTACTGGTGGTGAATACTTAAGATATTAAACTGTTGATGAATATTTCATTGACTTATAGTTTTTTTTTTTTTTTTCATTTGCTTTGTACACTAGAAGGGTCCAGCTTGTTTAGTACCTCGCTAAACAAGTTTTTTTTTTCAATTTTGTAAGAGTGCTTATAATATTGACTAATGAAGACATTGTCTAAGTTTTTATGTCATTATGTTGGTTTTACAAATAGACTGGTTCCTAACTTGCGCCGAAGAGATTGGTGCAACATGCATTGATGTGTAAAGAGCTTCATCGCATGGCGAAAGAACGCATTCGGTGAAGTTTTGGGAATTTTGTGAAGCCAAAATTAAATTTCTGGTTTGTGTTGAAAAACATGATTACCAATTACATGAAGATCAAATATCTAGACAAAATTAATATGTTTTAACAATACCAATTATATGAATGATTTGCATGGTATATATATCAATTATTATAGACGGTTAGTAAACATCATCACTCTCATTTAAATAGCTAGAACAGTGTATTAAACGTTAGAATCCACTATAATCCAGTTAAAAGTATTAAGGACTAAAGTCCCAGGGTTGTTAGAATAGATCTCTAGCAATATAAAAAGAACACAACCCGGCCCAGTCAATAACTTACCGTCCCAACCAATTTCTTTCTTGATCTTTCTCTATCTCTACCCAGCTATTGATGGTTACTATTTCTTTATTAGTTTTATAGGGTTCTATATTTATCATTCTGTCGGGGTATCATTTGATTACGTCGTAAATATGACCTATATAATGAGTTCTTCTTCTTTTGGTTTCTATACCAACTTATTAACTAAAGTTTAAGCGTCTCTACCATGCGCCAGAAGCTAGTGTTATTTCACATTTATTTAGATATTTCACGTTTCTTAAACTATAATACAAATGCTTGACTAAAAAGAATAATATCATAATAAATTAACTTTAAAAGAAATTAAGGAACAACTACTATGATCGTTATCGTAGCTGACTAAAATGTCTTGTTCGTTCGCACAAGATTGTTAATTTCTATGAAAATAAGTTGCGCATGCTCAGCACAGATATTTTGCACAAGTTGAAGGAAATAAATATAAAAAAGTTTCATAATAGTTTTTTAACACTTTGGCCATAAGCACTTCAGTATACTTTACCTTTTCCTTCGGTCAGGAAAATATATCAGAATGTTCTATTGGAAGTTCCATTTTAAAAGTTAAAACTAAGTCAAATTAAATTAATGGAAAAATGAACGAAATAATAAAAATATATACAAAAATAAAATGAATATGTAATTCTTGTCAATATAACTGAATAATTTTTTTCTTTACATTTTATTAAATTTCTATGAAATCTATAAAAATAAGTTATCTTGCATCATTTTATTCTACAAAATTAAAATCAATACTATTAAGTTAAAAATATGACCTATTGATATAAATTTAGTCTAACAAAATAATCCCACAATATATACTTATAAAAATAAACCATAATATTTTCTAATGGTATCTATATATATATTTTGGAACCACTATTTTAATTCTTTGATAATAGAGATCCACTAACAGTAGCTAATAAGTAAAACTGTCGACTGACATTAGTTCTGTAATATACATTTTCTTACAAGTTTACAACCCTCTATAGTATGTAATGCTATATCATCATATTATTATTATTTTCAGAAAAACATATCATCCTAATACTGATACAAATAACCCGTAAATATTAAACCAAATTGGGTTATGAACTTTAATATATGCTTTGTTTTTTAACTTTGTTTTTTATATCGTTAAGAAACCTGAAAACTTTGATATATCTAATAACCTTAAAAAATTGGATTACACTTTTTAAATTACATATCTTCGGCAACAGAAATATTAATACTTCAAATTACAGTAGAGATTCTGGGTTTAAAATTTTTGTAATATAAATTATAATATTGTTAGTGATTATTAACTAAAATCTAAAATGAATTTTATAATATTTTTATTTAGAATATTTCAATTTAAAATTTTAAAATTTAAAATTGAAAATACATTTACAGTTTTTTCACATTTATTTATCTAGAACCATCCACACCCACAAATGTTATCCGAAATCATTTTTAATTTTAAAAGTGTGGAACGATTTTTGAAACAATTTATAATGTTTTGTGATCATCTCCAACGATGCTATCTTAATAGAACTGTCAAAATGCAGTTAATTTTTTTATATATATTTTACAACCTAAAAGGGATAGTAAAAAATATGTTGTATTACTGGCTGATAGAATATAATATAAATTATTTTTCATACCAATTAGTTACACAGATTTCTTGTGGATTTTCTTTTATTATATTTTACAACATATATATACAGTGGATTATCATAAAATTATAATAGATAATTGATAATAAAAATAAACTAATCCAAATAAAACAATTAGTTTTGTTAATAGATTCATAATTTACAAATCGTATCACTTTTTTATAAAAACTGAAAAAATTAATTTCCTAATTAGAATACAAACAGATTCTAAGAATATAACTAAAGAAATGATAATTAGAAGTTATGTACTGGTTCAACCAGTGGTTTAACTGGTAGATCGGATTCTAGGTTTAAGCGGGTTTTATTTAATCTACAAAATTATATCATCTCTTTTTTTTTTATAAAAACTAAAAATTGAACTTCCTAAGTAGAATACAAATAGATCTGGCACAAGGCGGGTACTTGCTATTTTAGCAATACTCGATACTTGACTTGCTTTATACGAGTAATAAAAATTTCGATTTGTACTTGACTTGTCAAAAACGAGTACTTGTTATTGCGAGTACTTACTAAAAAATAAGTTATTTGTAAGTTACTTGTTATATTTTAGTACTTGCTATTTGTGAGTATTTGTAAGTTACGTGTAAGTATTTATGAGTTACTTGTGAGTATTTGTGAATATCATAAATATAATTTTAAGTATTAAAAATTACTTGCTGAATAATGGTATACGGAAAAATGAAAATAGAATTTTTGTTGTTGTACAAGAAACAAAAACGAGAATTAATATTAATAAAATATTTGTACATAATATAAATAATAAGAATGAAGAAAGATATAAAATATTTCAAATGGAATATTATTTATTTCAGACAACAATAAAACATATTTTCCAAACAAGCAATGAGTAGTATCAAGTCAAGTAGTTCATTTTTTTTTACATACTTATTACTTGACTTGTACTTGCAAGTATTTAAATTCCACTACTTGATATTTGATTTGACGATGACGAGTACTTGAAAAAACGAGGCGAATGTGAGGCGAGTAACGAGTTTAGGGCGAGCAGCGGGTATTTATGCCCAACCCTAAATACAAACATGTTCTAATAATGTATTTTTACAAAATTAATAATTAAAAGTTATGTATTGATTCAACCATTGGTTTAATTGGTAGCCGGGTTATGGGTTTTAGCGGATTTTTGTAAGTTTTACTGTATTATTAAATAATGATTTTTTTCCTAGAACTTAAATCGGATTACATATCGAATCACCGAATTTATCAATTCAGCGGATCGAGTTTCAAAAAACATTGAATATAAGTGTATAGCTATGCAATATTACAAGTTCAATACAACTATCAAAACCTCTTACTAGTATTTTTTTAAAAATGGTATACACATATTTACAAAAAGATATAAAAATTAAAACAAAAATATACACATCTTTTCAGTATCTAGTTTACTTGTAAATGCAAAGTACTAAGGAAATGATATGTGAATGTTTCTAGTTTCTACATATCTATTGATTATTTGACCCATGTTGGTGGATGGAATGATATTTAAGAGGAAAAAAAACAATTTCCATCATTATTTTTATATTATGTCATTATTAACCAACAAAATAACAACGAGACAAGAAGTCATCTATCTTTGTAGATCACCATCATCATTTCATCATCTAAAGTCTAAACCTTTAATCAATGGGAAGAATCACTAGCTTTGCAGATCTAATCGGAATAATCAAAGACAAAGCTTCTCAAAGCAAAGCTGCTCTTATCTCATCAAACTCAACAAGCAAATCTCTCTCTTTCCATCTCTCCGTCCTCCGTGCCACCACTCACGACCCTTCAACTCCACCGGGAAATCGTCACCTCGACGCTCTCCTCTCCGCCGGTACTGGCTCACGAGCCACCGCAGCTTCCGCCGTAGAAGCAGTAATGGACCGTCTTCACACAACCAGAGACGCCTGCGTCGCTCTCAAATCATTGTTCATCGTTCATCACATCGTTAAACACGGCCGCTTCATCCTTCAAGATCAGCTCTCTGTTTTTCCGGCTTCCGGTGGTCGGAATTATCTGAAACTTTCTGGGTTTAGAGATGAAAAGTCTCCTTTGATGTGGGAGCTTTCTTCTTGGGTCAGATGGTAAGTTTCAAAAATCTATAAAAGGAAAGTTTTAGTTTTTATGTTATAAAGAAGAATTACAAAAGTTTCTATTTTTAGGTACGCTTTGTATCTTGAGCATCTTTTGTCAACTTCAAGAGTCATGGGCTTTTTCGTTGCTTCAAGATCGAGCACAATCCACAAAGACGAATACGAAGACATTGTTTCGTCTCTTACCAACACTGATTTGGTTCGTGAAGTCGACGCGCTTGTCGGTTTATTACAAGAAGCATGTAAGATTCCGGATATACCCTTCTGTGGTGGCAAACCTCTCGCTGACAATATCACCAGTTTGGTCGGAGAAGACTACGTGTCTTCAGTCAATGAGCTTTACACGAGGCTCAACGAGTTTAAAGAGAGGTCTAACACTTTGCGCTTCGGGGATAGGGTCGAGCTTGTATGTGTTTTGAAGAGGCTTGAGAGTTGTAAAGAACGATTGTCTGAAATCTGGTGTGGGAATTGGAAGGGGGGTTGGCTCGATGGGTTGTGGAGTTTGGTTCTTGAGGTCAAGGTCAAGGTCAAGGACATGATTGGTGATTTAGAGGATAGTTGTGTGAAAATTGAGAAATCTATTGTTGGGATTGGGAGGAGAGAAAAAGGATATGAATCAGCCCGGTTTACTGATCGGTTAGTTATTGGTTATGGTGATGCTGTTAGGTTTTCTTCCACTAGATTTTCGAATGTTGATCGGTTTAAATCCAGTTGAACGTCGTATTGTATAAAATTATCATAAAATCGTTTTTTCTTGGAAACAAAGACGTGCCTAAATGTATAAATGTATAAACCGGTAGAAATAGACGTGGACTGGAGATAGTAGGGGTGAGCGTTTGGATTCGGATCGCACGAATGTCAGATTTTAGGGTATTTTAGTATAGGAGTCTAAAATCTGTTCGCCTTGGATTGGGTTCGGATAATTTTCGTTTGGGTTTGATTTTTTTCGGATCGAGTTCGGATATTCTTGATTTTTTTTAAAATAACCAAATTCTTCGTTACTTTTCTTATACTTAAAATTTTATAGTTAACTTAACTGCTTATTAAAATTTTAATAGGTTAAACGATTAATAGGTTTGGAAACAAAAGTTTACAAATTAAAAAACACTAACTTAGTTGATGTTGTGAAATTTTGAATATAATTTTTGTTAAAGAATGAAATAAAAAGTTTGACATTCATTTTAAATAAATAGAAAATCATCTTCTTCACAACTATATGTATATTATATAACTTTGAACAATATACAACATTAATATATATATTGGATAAAATGAGAGAAGTAAATTAAAAATATTAAATTAAATAATTTATATATGGTTATTTTCAGATATTCGAATTTTGATATTATCTGTTCAGGTATGGATATCTAATCTTTTTTAATTCAATATCCGTTCGGGTATTTTGTTAGGTTCGGATTTTAGTGCGGACTTTGAATTCGGGTATCAGGTAATGCCGAGCCCTACGGAATAATTTAAACGAAGTCTTGTGAAAATTTATTTTGGTTAAATGTGTAGTGAATTTTGAAGACAAAGAGTAATGGATATATACTGTTTGAATATGGAAAAAGATTCGATCACTATAGTGAGATATATTTCTAGGTCAACCACTATAAAGTCAAGGCCTAGAAGGTGATTTCATCCTTCAAAAAACTTTTTTTTTTTAATTTTTTTTAGATTAAAAAAAAATCAATTGGGAGCTGCCACGTGTCTTGGGGATCTGCAAATAGTGTAAAAATTCGCTAAAAATAGTTTTTATTTAAAGATTTTAAAAATCGAATCATTAACTTTTTGTAGAATCTACTGATTATTTAATTATTTTTTTTTTAAAGATTCTCCTGGACTCCAGTTGGAGGTGTTCTTAGTGTGACAATGATGCAATAAGAACGTTTGGTTTGGAGTTAATCCCAATACCCATTAGAGTTACAAAGAATCAAAAGACCAGAAAAATAAAACACCAACAATTTGGAAGAGAACATAAATGTATTATAGAAACACAAAGAGATTTGACAAAAGAAAACAAAGGAGAGAGTGAGAGTGATTAGTATACTCAAGGCTCTCTTAAGTCAAAACGACTGCGTACAAGGCTCCCGCAATGAGGGTGCTCACAAGGAAAGCTTTGTTAGTCAATGCTGAGTCAGCATCCGGTCCTTCAGGAGCCGGAGATGGTCCTTCAGGAGCCGGAGCTGGTCCTTCAGGAGCTGGTGCTGGCGTTGGTGTTGGTGTTGGAGTTGGAGTTGGGACTGATGGGCTTGGAGCCATACCTTTGTGTTCCGGAGGATAAGCCACAGGGGAAGTGTAAGGAGACTTAGTCGGTGATGAGTCGGTGGGAGGAGTCGCTGGAGCTGGAGTTGGCTCGGTAACCATTACCGGTGGTGAAGCAACTGGTACTGGAGACGGTGGCTCAGCGGTGGGTGTAATAACAGGAGGAGGAGACTCTACCGGTGGGAGAAGCATGATGGGTGCTGGAGCTGGAGCTTGAGCGATGCAGGACGTGGCCAATAGACCAAGAAAGATCAGAGCTTGCAATGTCTTAAGAGCTGCCATTGATCTCTCTTTTAATATTCTTTTCTTGTCTGAGAAAAATAGAGAGATATAGAAACTGAGAAAGCTCTTGTCTTCGTTGGTGGTGGATAAACGAGGAAAAGGGTTTGTATATATAGAACCAAGAAGATTATACTTAATTCTACAAAAAAAAAAACAAATGTTCTTAGAATGATTATTTAATATCTGGAAATTTTAATCATGCAAGCACATACATATATAGAGATATACAAGATCTTATTTATTTATTGATTTGGAATATCATAACAAGTAGTCTTTACCAAGTCTCTTGAAGAATCATATACATGGGAGATCACCAAACAAAAGCATAAAATATTAATATGCCGAGTTGTAGATAACCATGTGTAAGATTTAAAATTGTTAATTAGCTATTGTTAACAAGTTGTATATATAACTACACTTCATGGTTTACTGCGACAATGCGGCTTGATCTATAGTGAATTTTGTTTATCGAGTTTGTCATATATATCATGAATCCTGACGTTTGAAGGTGTAAAAGAGCAACGGAATTTTCTAATTTAGCATTATAATAAAATATTTCGTGCCAGCTGATATACTTCGAACAATTGATTTATCTTTTGTATATGTTAAGAGTCAAGACCACGAGCAATATACTTGGTTCCCACTAAGGTTACGGTGAGGCAGACAAGCAACTTACTATTATCTGTGAATGATCACGACGTTTATATTAATATGAGAAAAAAATGAAAAAAATGCAGATGATATTTTTACAATAAGATAATCTTTTAAAATTTGCATTTGAGGTTTAAGCCGGTGACTTACAGTCTGTATGGTAAGTATGCCCTGGGGCAATCTTGCATAACAATATATATACATATATATTTTTTTTTTTTGTTTAAAACTTATTTATTTGATTCCCAACCTTGATGGCGTTCCTTTGCTAAATATTATCCAAATCATATATATTTGATGATATCATAGTAACAGCTCAAACTTTACATGGTAGTACAAGAAGATTGTGTATTTTCCTCTTACCATCTCAATGAACAATGTGATGTATATGCATAATTCTTATTTCACTCTTGTTTAATAAGGATAAAAATTTGAAACATATATATAGATACAGGCATATAAATTCAGGCCAGTCAATCTGTTTTACCATTTCCACCTAAGTTCATGAGCCTTGGTTCGATTCTTCAACTTCTGCTTTTTTGTTTTATCTTCACCGGCCTCACACTTCTTCCTGTTGACCCGTTTCTCTGCTATTTGCGTCTCGACGTTATCCACTTCCTTCTTCCTCTCTGTGATCTCAATCTTGGTATCTCCTTCCATCTTTATGCTTATGTTCACCTCTAATACTCTCTTGCTCTTTCTCAAGGAAACATCCAACGACTCTTCTCTCTCCCTTCTTTGTTCATACAGCCTACGTAGCTTGAGTGCGAGATTGTAGATCCCATCCTTGAACTCTCCTTCCATATTTCTTTCTATTTCCATTTCAAGCTCATCACGAATCCTCTCTTCTTCTTTGGACAATAAGAGTCTTCTATCCTCCTACAATTATAATCATATGTGCTAAATTTCTTTCCATCATGAAGGTTACATTCCATGCATGTGCATGGTGTGTGTATTTATATTTTTCACTTACCTTCTGTTGGCTATACTCTTGTCGGTCCATGGCTTCACAATTCTATTTCTCTCCCTTGTGTATGATGCGGTCCCCTTGTGTCTAGTTTTTCTTTTCTCACTTGATTCGCAAACGGAGTTATAAAACCACGTCGTTTTGATATTGACATTAGGCTTGGTGGGCTCGGGTAATGTAGTTGGTGGTCCAATTAAGACATGTCATAATTTGTAAACAGTTCTTAATAAGAGGGCTTTAAGTGACCCATTAACAAAACAGTACTGAACCATTGTGGCACCAAATTTCACTAAGTGCAGAATTTGAAGAGTAAATTGAAGCTTATGTCTGTCCTTTTAATATATTGGTGAGAGTAGTTCTTTACTTATAAGGCTGCTATGGATTGCTTTCAAGTATTTCTACCTGAGAAATCAAGAAGACGATTCACTTGTTTGCATCCACACATGCTATTCTTCTTTTTTTGTCTCATGCTATTCTTTTATATAACTTGTGTCTTGACAAAAACAAATGTTTTCCTTTAATATTTCAAAAGATACCCATTATATCAACAAATTTCATTTTTTGTATATGTTATCTCGAGAAAATGTTTTAATGAAATTAAAACAATCTTTTTATGAGAATCGCAGAAATTAGGTTTTATGTTATCTAAAGGAAGAAAGCTAGTGATTAAATCAATTGTAATCAGGTCTGATTCGCCTCGCCTATAAACGCAATTACCTAAAACATAGAATTTCTTTTGCTCATCAAACGATTCAAACCACTAATTTTTTTTTGATACTCTCAGTCTCTTATGTAAACTTATAAGAGCATGTGCAATGGTGAGACTCACTAGAGTCCTTAGGGAAAGAGCATTTAGGATTAATTCTGTATATTTTGGATTTTTTTTTTTTTAAAAAAAAAAGAAAAGAAGATGACCATTCACGGGCTGCCACGTGGTCAATAGGGCCCGTGAACAGTGTAAGGATTAATCCTTACCAAAGGATTTTAAACATTCTTTTTGACACAAATTCTAAAAAAATGGGCTCCACATTCCCTAAGGACTCTCTTAAGAGTCACCGTTGCACATACTCTAATAGTGTTTCATGAACTTTAACTCAATACTAACCCTACTTGTAAAAGCAGTGTTATAAAAAGTGTTCTAGACGAAAGTGTTCTAGACGGCCGCCTATGCACTACATCTTATAAAACTTTAAGAGCATGCTATCTCTTAACAAAAAATTAGCAAAAAAATAAAAAACACCTCTGATTCCGTGTCTACACTGAACATGTTCTTAATATTTATTTTCTAAACCGTCAAAATAATTAAAATATTTAATAATAAATAATATATAATTTTGCTAATCATAAATTGTAATAGAGAATCTTATGAAAATAAAAGAATATAACTATAAACATATAATTCACTTAACTAAACAATCTAGACGTCCTATTATGGTTTTATGCGATAGTCGTCTCAATACATTGCCACGGATGGTAAAGTCGAAGATCATCCGAACTCCTACCCATCAGATTATTTTTGAATCTTTTTGTTAACATTTAGATTGTGGGTTTATAAAAAAGTTGGCTATCTAACAATTAAACCCTAATTCTATGTAATTATTTAATTAGGTTATATTAGATTTGGTATCGACTGGCCCGAAAAAAACTGGAAGATCTTATTGATCAGACGGTTTAAATTAAATTAAAAGCCTTTAATTTTTGTTTATTTACTACTGTAGTTGTGAAAAAAAAAAAAAAATCTCCCTCCAAAATAGGAACTGTAAAGGCAGAGATCAGACCACTCTTCTCCATGGATGTGCTTATCAGCTCGACCGCCATATTCACACCTCTCAAGAACTCCGTCCTCGTCCGGCCTGCTCCACCCGGCTCTTTGATCCTAAAACCGAGATTTCCGGAAAATTCGGTAGGGTTTCATCGAGGAGCGGCGGTGAGAGCAACGGCTATTGATCTAAGCGATCCCGAGTGGAAACTAAAGTATCAAAGAGACTTCGAGGAGAGATTCAGCATCCCTCATATCACTGATGCGTTCCCTGATGCAAAAGCCATCCCTTCCACGTTTTGTCTCAAGATGAGGTTACTTAAACTACATAATCTAGTGACCTAATGATCGTTTTAGGTCTGAGCTTTGTATTTTTTTTGTTTGTTTAATCAGGTCTCCGTCGTACATTAATAACAAAGACAGAGTACTCCTCAAGGTACTTTTAATCTTCTCTAATCAGCACCATTAGAATATTTAGGGTAATATTAATATTTGATTGGTTTTGTTCATCAGGTTATAAACTACTCATCACCAGCTTCTGCTGGAGCAGTTTGTATTGATCCTGGTTGCACTTGGATCGAGCAATGGTAATAATATATATTAACCAGATTCAAAACTAACTCTTCTCAATTTTTTAATTTTTTTTTTGTTGAGTTTTGGACTACTGTTGAAGTTTATAAGGATTGATCATTTAGGGTTCAACGTGCTGGGCCACGGGAAAAGATTTACTTCAGACCTGAGGAAGTTAAGGCAGCTATTGTTACTTGTGGTGGGCTTTGTCCTGGTCTTAATGATGTCATTAGACATGTGAGTTTTGCTTTTCACTCTTATTCATGTAATCAAACATATATAGTTCTGTTTTTTTTTTTTCCTAATAAGAGTTTGTAATGTGCCAGATAGTCATCACTTTAGAGATATATGGTGTGAAGAACGTTGTTGGGATTCCCTTTGGTTACCGTGGCTTCTCTGATAAGAACCTACCTGAAATCCCTGTATATGTTATTTCAAGAACATGGCTCACTTATTTTTTTTTGAAAAACCTTCTTTCTAGCCAAGAAGACTAATATATATTTGGACTTTGATTGTTTAGCTGTCAAGGAAAGTGGTGCAAAACATTCATCTCTCCGGTGGAAGTCTGCTCGGGGTCTCACGTGGAGGACCAACTGTTATGGAGATCGTGGACAGCATGGAGTCGAGAGGAATTAACATGCTTTTTGTGCTTGGTGGTAATGGAACTCATGCTGGTGCTAATGCTATACACAACGAGGTTGCTACTTATTTTAATAAGTTGTAACCCATTGAACAATGTTTATAGCTTTGGTTCACCCTTTAAGGCTATGTTTTGTTACCGTTTTCAGTGTATCAAAAGAAGGATGAAGGTAGCTGTGGTTGGTGTACCGAAGACAATAGACAATGATATATTGCATATGGATAAAACTTTTGGGTTTGATACTGCTGTTGAAGAAGCACAACGAGCTATAAACTCTGCATACATCGAGGTACTTAGAAAATGCCTAGTCATTTTCATTATTCTATACGTATGCATGTACATTAATTAGTAACAGATTTGATTATGTCTTTTTTTTTGCTCTGTATGGTCCTTGTGATCAGGCACATAGTGCATATCATGGCATAGGCGTTGTGAAGCTGATGGGTCGTAGCAGTGGATTCATCGCCATGCAAGCATCCTTAGCGAGTGGACAAGTCGACATTTGTCTAATTCCTGAGGTACCTTCTGTTTTTCTTTTATTATCTTGAATTGTCAGAAAACATTGAGAGAGATTGCTTCTAACTAAAAGTGTTTCAAAAGGTTCCTTTCAACCTCCATGGACCTGATGGTGTACTGAAACATTTGAAGTACCTCATAGAAAATAAAGGCTCTGCTGTAATTTGCGTTGCGGAAGGAGCAGGACAGGTAATATAACTCGAAAAGACAATTACAACATTCTCTCCTCTCTTACGTGTTTTGTAATTTCAGAGTTTCCTTGAGAATACAAATGCAAAAGATGCATCTGGAAACAAAGTGCTCGGAGATATCGGTGTTCACATTCAACAAGAGGTTTAGTAAATAAACTTTGAATTACGTATAAACGAAATAAATAAACTGACACCTCGAGATTGTATTTTATACAGACGAAGAAATACTTTAAGGAGGTTGGTGTTTCGGCAGATGTGAAGTATATAGATCCAACATACATGATCCGAGCCGTACGTGCAAATGCATCAGATGGAATCCTCTGCACGGTCTTAGGACAAAACGCTGTAAAAGTCTTTATACCTAAAACTCAGGTTTTCACTGCTGTAACAAATATTTGATGTACATTACACACTCTCTGTGTCACAGGTTCATGGAGCTTTTGCTGGGTATAGTGGGATTACTGTGGGGATAATCAACAATCATTATGCTTACTTGCCTATCCCTGAAGTGATTGCTTATGCTAAATCAGTTGATCCCAATAGTCGAATGTGGCATCGTTGCTTAACTTCCACAGGCCAGCCTGATTTTTTGTAATTTTATTCCCACATTTATTGCTTTTTTAGAGTTTCTCAAAAAGAATAAAGCTAAACTGATCAACTTTACATTCTGAAAAAAAAACTAAGGAAGATCGTCTTCTTTTGTTAAACACCATTGCATATGTTTTTTTTAACTAACAACAGTTCAGTTATCTAAACCGATGACACTGACAGAAATCTTTACAGAAGAAAGATTATGACTACTTAACATATTCACTGAATGTGAAATATATCGGATTTACAACATTAAAATTCATCTAGTAAACAAAAGATGGTGTAGACACAGATTTTTGACGACAATAATTTTTAAAATTCTCAATAAAAGAATATAGTCTGTGTCTTTGATCAAAAAAAAAAAAAAATTTGATCAAATAAAGAATAAAGTTTGCGTCTTTGTGGCTCAAATGTTGATAAAGGGCCGGCCCATTAGAATTATAATTGGGCTGCAAATAAAGACCCAAAAGCTAAACGAGTAAAACCCTAGAGGAAGCTACCTTCTTCTCACCATTTTCAGAAGCGAAAGACAACTTTGGTTCGTTCGTCCGTACGAAAATGGAGCTCTCCACTGTCACTACCATCACTCACCTCCCTTCCACCACCAGCCGCCACGTGTATCTGGCGGATAACACTGTGCCTGTGCGTAGAATCTCACTCCCTCTCCAGTCCAACGTTGCATCTCTCCGTCTTCAATCCCGTAAGAGAACTAAACACTCTTCCTTCCTAGAGTTCCTGTTTTGCTTTTTTTTTTCCTATGTGATTCACTCATTTTATCATTTTTAATTGATTAGTGTTTTCTTCTTGCCAATTGCCATTAAGACATAAACTTTAATGTCTGATGTTGACTTGTCTTTTTTTTTTTCAATGGCAAAGGCACGTTGCGATGTACGAGAAAGTTTCCAGGAGAAACAGTGTCTGAAGACACGTCATCAGGAGTCAATGAGTTTGGTCTTAAGAAGCCTGAAGTAGTTGCAAGCAAAGAGGATAACTTTACTAGTGATGTAGTTTCAGACAAAGTGGACAACTTCACTAGTGAAGCTCAAGCTGAAGAAGAGCAAGCTCAAGCCTCCTTAGAGTTCTTTAACGATATTAAGGTATTTTCATTATATATAAGTTTCAGATTTTGCTTTGAGTTTTGACTGTACACCACTTGTTCGATGAAATGCCTCTTGTTCATAGACTACACAGTATATATTGACTATGAACTTATTGACTATGAACTTATGATTACAGAGATGTAATAAGCAGTTGATGTTTTTGGGTTTGTTAATGCAGCTAGATTCAGACAACACGTATTCGATCTTGCTCTATGGGTTTGGTGCGATACTTTCTATCTACTTGACTTCTGCAGTTGTTGGTTCACTCGAATCAGTTCCTCTGGTTAGGACCCTCGAGCAATCCTTTTTTATTTATTTTGTTTTTCTAAAAATATGTTAAGTAACGTTTCGTTTGGATGGTTCAGTTGCCTAAGCTGATGGAAGTGGTTGGTCTCGGATACACACTCTGGTTCACTACACGTTACTTGCTATTCAAGGTATGACACACCTTATCAATTGAGTTTTTCTTCAGCAATTTTTCTCATTTCTTGTTTATTAAAAACACCAATTTAACTTTATTTGCAGAGTAACAGAGAAGAACTCAAGACGAAGATTAGTGAAATCAAGAAGGAGGTTCTTGGCTCTGATAGTGATTGAGTAGCTCGTTTTTTTGTTTTGTTTTGTCTTTGCTTGTGTAGAATGAGAAAAAAAAAGGAAACATGTTTCCCTTCCCACTGAACTGTGTTTAGGAATAAAAATAGTTTGCGTTGGCTTTTTTGGTCACAGTGTTGAAGAACATCTTTTGATACATATAGAAGAGTTTTTTAAAAAAGGTATAAGTCTCTTAAATTCCGAGTGATGCTTGCGCAAAGCTCGAATTGATTTTTTTTTCAAAGTTTGAAGGTGGTGGAGTGAGGAAAGGAATGTTTGAAATGTAGAAATCACTCACAAAGAAAGAGCTGCAACAACTTTTATTTATATAATAGACTGTGTAAGTGTATTCACCCAAAATTCAATAACACATGGGCTTTCATATACCTTTACATCTATCTATCTACCTCCTCTAATGGGATTAGTATAGAGACATAGATGTACAGAGAAGTATAGTCACTGCTGCTGAGTAACTATATTCCTCCACTGTTGTTGCTTTTCGCCTCTGCTTTACGATTCATTACAGGTTTCAGTGACCTCTTGAGCTTAACCAAACCTTCATTTCCATTCACACCTTGAACAAACAAGACGCACTTGGTTCTTCCACCTACTGTCATCATCTCAACTCTCACCGCCTTTGCATTCGCTGCTTTCATCGACTCAGCTACCTCCTTCATTAGCCCTTCTCTGTCGCTACAGCTGAACACCACTCTCGCAAAGTCTTTGTTCTTACATTGACCCAATCTCAAGCTGTCTTCTAAAGATGGTGTGGTTGGTATCTCATTAACCAGCTTCTTTAGTTCCTTGAAGTACCTTACAGTCTCTCCTAGCACAGATGCTTTGTCCTGCTGTTAAGTTCACAAAGTGTTAATTATCTTGGTATGTATTTAGTATGCATAAATTGAACTTACTTTGATTAAGTTTGGAAGAATTGTGCGAAGAGCTTCAAACTGGCAGTTAATCCGAAGCCTTCTTCTTCTCTCTGCCTCGCTATGTTTCTTTGCAGCCACTTCCTTTGACTCAGTTTTCGATTTTGGCTTTGCATAATTGGCTGAGTACCCTTTAGAGAATAGGTTGTTGCTTGAGGCTCCACTTGTGAAGAGGTTTCTTCCCATTGTTGTTGTATATGCCGTTGCATTGTAACGCTGAGAAAGTGGACGCATCCCTTGCTCTAACTGCGTTATACACACACAAAAACATGTGAAAAAAAGAAGAAGATTGGTTCAGAAAGTTTGATTGATAGTATAGAAAGTAACAAGGAGAGACTTACATGTTGAAGTAAAACCATGGCGACACCAAGAGAAAGGAGAAATCGATAATAACAATGGAGGGAATGTTGTGTATAAATATAAAGACAAAAGCCTTGTAATATTACAAGAAAGATATCAATGAGAAGATCTTCAAATGTTGTAATAAATGGGTGATTAATGTAAAATAAGCACGAGAATATATTGTAATAAATAACTTAGGATTAAAAAAAAACAAGACGGAGATAATACAATAAAGATTGAGATTGCAGACAAAGATCTAAAGATAATCTTTGATTTATTACTGAGAAAAACTAGGTTTAAAATTATAAATAAAAAAAAACTTAGGTCTTCTTCACGTTGCTTGTTGAAGAATCCTTTGTCTTCTTCTTCACTGGTATCAACTTCACTCTCTTCCCATTAATTTTGCACAGTTTCGAAGTTCGAAACATTGTCACAACCTCTTGATTTTCATCACCTTCATCTTCATCATCAGAAATAACCACCACTTCATTATCATTTCCACGACCAGTATTTTGATTAGGGTTCTGTTCCTTGGGGACAAAGGAACTGCCTTCAGGAAACCCTAGATGAACCATCGGGGATGAGATGTCGAGATCGTAACTGTCCTTCAAGACGGGCTTTGAAAGCAGCGACCAAGCCTGAAAGGCATAGTGAGCAGCTTCCTTGCTAGAAGGGAGACCATGACACCTCCAATCTAGGAGCTTCATCAACCTCTTGAAATCATCCAACACCACCGGTTCAAATCGGGTCAACCGAATCATTCCATAGTAATCCATAAACCGGTTGGGAAGCCGGTTCTCTGCGGCGATGATGACGTCGCAGATTGCTTCAACTTGGTCAAGTATTGGCCAATCTTTACCTAACTGTTTCTTCATCTTAACAAGACTCCTAGCGCCAGTGAAGTTACGCATGTCGAGAAGTTTATGGCATCGAGAAACAACGATAATTTCTCCCACAGTAGACATTATGATGAGAAACCACTAGGGATTAGTGTTTTGGTTGTTGAGATTAGAAATGATGTATACTTGTTATGCAAATGACACAATGGTTTTATATTGATGTGGTTGTGTGTAAGGTATTGTGATGATTCATTCATTCATTTGCTAAGATAATTAATGCATGAAATATAGTATTAACAACTAATGCCAATCAACATGTATTTTTTTTGAGGAATCTGTGGTTTAGATTTACATTAAGTTCTTTTTTTTGTTATTATCAGATCTGTATATTTTTGAACTATCATTATTTTCCCGCGAATAGTTTTTTTTTTTAAAAACTATTTTCTCCACGAATAATTGAATGATACTTGTAACGAAATTAATATTAAATGGTTGGATTTTACATCTTAAGAATTACGAGTTTCGATCTAAAATATAATTTAATAAATAAAGCTTTAAATATATTTGCATAGTCAACTATATCTTAATGTGTAAGAATTAGAGAGTTTTATCTTAAATTGTTGCCTAAGTTTTATATTTTGTTTGGGTGTATAATTCCATATGTGTGTTGCTAAAAGATGAAGCAGAGATTTTGAATAACAGATTTATATTTTATAGATTACTTATTTTAACAGTCAAATTAAAGACTCTTTAATCTTAATCAAACAAAAGTATTGCAATTAAAGAAATTTATTTAATTCTGAACCAATTAAAGATGAACTCCAAAGGGAGAACATAGTATTATATATTCTGTAGTTGTCTGTATATCTAAAATAGTTAACAATATATTTATTAATTCAACTTTTGGATTTATAAACTTTTAAAGTTTCATATATATAGGTAAGTATCATCTCTAAACACATCCTAATTACTACCAAACCCGTCCGTAATGGGCTAGTAGTCTAGCTAGCCAGCCTATCCAATATTATTTGATAATTTATTTTCGTATGTATTATTTTCACAATAATTTTTAGAATAGTAAATTACAAGTTTACATTTAAAAAAAATAATACATAATTGTTTTTACTAAAATTACTTTATTTCCTTTTTGCTTAATAAATTTAAAATTGAGTTTGTAATTTTAGTTTTCTTTTAACTGTTTACAAAACCCATATAAATAATAAAAATAATTATTTTTATTCTTATTTTTATAAAACAACATAGATAAATAATATCTACAATTTTAAATATAACATTTCTCACGTTAATTCTATTTATTTACAAAATAAAATTAATAAATTATAGATTATAAATAATTACCATTACTAAAATTATTTTAATTTTGTTTTTTGCTTAAAAAATTTGTTGAGTTTTTAATTTTAGTTTTCTTTCTCTTTTATTTTTCTTACAAAACTTACATAAATAATAACAAGAAAATATCTATAAAATATATAATCTGTTTATATAATGAATTTTATTTTTTTCATATTTTTAGAAAAGAACATAAATAAAAAAGGAAATAGCTATAAGTTTTAATATATATAGATTTGTAAACAAAAAATATTGTTCACAAATAATAATAACATAGATTTTTATATTTAAAAAGAAGTCAATATATTTCCAAATCTAAAACTTAAACTAAAATAGATGCAACAAAAAATTAATCAGAAATCTAACTAGAAAAAATAGTTGTGATTCATTTTAGATCTGATTAGATTAAAATAAAATAGTTGTGATTCATTGTAGTTTTGATCGATCATGATTCTTGTAGTCAAAGTTAGTTGTCTAATTAAGTCATAGATATATATTATACTTAGAATACTTTTCTATTTATCTTATTGCATGTAAAAGTTAAACAACTCTAAACTAAAGAACAAATAAAAATAAACTTTTATATTATTACCGATTTTATTTATTTATGCAACTCCAAACCGACATCATTTTCTATTGGTTTCCCAAAATAACTTGAATCAAATTATACATTGTAATAAGTAAATTATTATGATCTAAGACAATAAACATATTAAATGTGACTAATAAAGTTAATCTGATTTAAACATATTTAGAATCATGAAACATTTATGGTTCATGAATAAAAGCAATCTTATATACCCAATAATTAATTGAATCATTCTCACAATTTGTTTATAAAATGTTTAAATTAATTATTATAAATTATTCATTTGGTAAATCTTTATATCCATATGTGAGTGTGAGAATGTCACCTAGTAATTATATAAATGATTAAATCGTTTAAGCTTGTGCTAAACAAAAATAAATGAGTAATAAACAAAAACCTTAGTACGTTTCTTTATTACACAATGAGAAAAGCCTCTGTAAAAGCAAGAGAGTTTCATCTGAGAAACATCAATAACATAACAAACAAGATTTTTTTATGGTCAACTAACCAACAAGTTTTACTGAGAATAAAACAACGAATACATTGCGTCTTTGTGGAAGAATCAAACTAAGTCTAATGGTTAAGTTGTCTAAATGGTGACCTGTCTTCAACCGCAACATCTTCATGCTTCATTACAATTCTTGGAGAACCAATACTGTTGTTCTCTTTACCAAATCCATCACCACGTTGGACTGTTCTCTCCAAAGCTTTCATCAGCTTTGTGTCTTCATCACACAGCTTAGACATACCATTCTCCAGTTCACTGATTAAACAGAGAAGATCTTGTCTTTCTGATGACAAACTTGCCACTTGTTTAACTAGCCCTGTCTTGTCCGCTTCTGAAGTTCTTAGCTTTTCCTGCCTCTTTGTGGTTACTTCTTTCAACTCTCTCTGCTTAGTTTCAAGTTCTGCTCCTAACTTGGTTGCCTCTTCTCTGAAACAAGAAAGAGACTCATCGGATCTTTCTAGCTTCTGGCTAATACTAGAGATTTCCTCTTCTAGCTCTATGATCATAAGCTTCTTCGCCTCGGTTTCTACTTCGGTAAGAATGTTATTAGCAGCTAGTTTCTCCCATGCTTTGTAAACCATAGTAGCCTCGTTTTGCTTCTGTTCCAGAAGCAAAGATACAGACTTTAATGAACTTTCCAGTTCACCTCTCTCGTTCTGCAACACCCTCTCTGCAGTTATATGAGCAAAAACAGCACCCTCAAGCTCCCTTGTAAGTGATTCTTGTTCCAACAACTCTGCCTCTCTCTGTACTTCTTCCAAGTTCTTGTCCTTCTCCCTCATTATCTTTATAAGAATTTCCTTCTCTGAATCAGACATAGCAACTGCCTTTAGTTTATGCACCAGTTCATTTCTCTCTTGCCTCATGGCATCTCCAACAGTAACCTGTTCAAGAAGAGAAGCTTCCACTCTTTTGCGCAGGTCCTGGTTTTGCTCGAGCTCCACTTTCAGCCTTTTAGCAATAGATTTCCAGACCCATAACTGGAACTCAAGCTGGTACGCTTCAGAGGTTTTATCAGACAGTTCACAGTTTGCTGCTTCTAAGGCCTCAGAAACGTCAGCAAGTTTCCTTTTCGAGTGGCTTTCCACCTCTACAACTTTCTCTTGTAAGAGGATTTGACTTTTAGTCACCTTCTCAAGCATCTCCTTGTAACTTTCAACCTCCCTTTGTCTCTGCTCTTCGTTTTGATTAATGGACTCAATTTTTCTTATCAACGAGACATTCTTCTCAACCTCTTCAGCCAACTTTGCATAAGCAGTGTCCACCTTACTGCAGAGCTCTCTAACATTCTCCTTGGAATCACTCTCAAGCTGTGTAATCTGCTCCTCTAAAATCACCCGAAGTTTTTCTGATTCCTCCAGCATCTCCTTATGCTCCTGAACTTCTTTTTCCATTGCTTGATTCTTCTCTTTGATAATACCAAAGGACTCAATCTGCCTTCTTAAACCCACCACTTTCTCACGTTCTGCAACAAGTTCCGAGTTTGTGTTGTCAAGTGCATCACAGACTTGTAGAAGTTTCTCTTCGAAGTCAATTTCAGCCTCTTTCAGTTTCTCTTGCATCTGAGTTTGGAGTTTAAATGAATCCTCAACTGTTTGCTTGTACCTCTCCACCTCTTTATGCATCTGAAGATTCTCTTCTTCAAAATGATCCAGCGTTTCAACTCTTTTCAGCAAGCACGCCACCCTTTCACGTTCTGCTTCCGTCTCTTCATGTGCCTTGGCCAGCGCAACGTTCTTTTGCTCTAGCTGCTCAATTAATAGAGAGTATTTATTTTCTTTACTTCTCTCATCTTTGGTTTGTTCATCTGTGACATTCACAAGCCTTGACTGAGCCTCAGACACTGTTCTACTTAGCACTAAGAACATTACTGAGACCTCTTCATACTGTACCCTCATTTTATCTGCTGAAGAATGAAAGTTTTCAAGTTCCAACTCAAGCTCACTCACTGCTGCATCCTTGCTTATCAGCTGAGACTTATAATCGTTCATCTCTTCAGCCATCTTCTCCAGTTGAGACCTCCATTCAGATTCTTTACTCCTTAGATTAGCTGAACAGTTCTTATGCGTGTTCTCCAGGTTCCGAAACTTGTTTTTCAGCTTTGATAGTGCAGAACTTCCTGATCCTTGAATTGTAGCTTCTTGCAGCTCTCTCAACGAAGCCATCAACTCGCGGTTTTCCTGTTCAAGTTTCCCTTTCTCATACTTCATCTCCTTGAAATAAGCCTCTTTGGTGCTCAAGGAGTGTCTCAACTCAGCAACTTCCTCATCTCTTTTCCCAGCCAAATCATCAAGCTGCGTTCTCGCGTCTTGGTACTCTGCAGAGACATCTTCGTACTTAGCCTTAAACTCAGAAACCTGGATCTCTAGATTCTTTCTTCTCGTCTCTTCTTGACTCAGCACACTGTTACACATCTGCAACTTCTTCTCAAGATCCTCTGAGATTCTGGTTTGTGAATCTAGCTTGGTCTGAAGAGAGTAGATTTCATCAACAAGCGTCGATCTTTCTCCCTCCCACTCTTTCTTACAAGATTTGAACATATTATTAAGCTTCTCATAAGCTTCCTCAAGGTGCTTAAACTGCTCCTTCTTCCACTTCAGCTTCTCTTCCACCTGAGTCTTCTCCTCTTCCATCTTAACCACCACATCATCTCTCCCTCTCGCTTCTTTCAAACCTCTCAAAGCTTTCTCAGCTTCCGTCTTCTTCTTCTCCGCTGCCGCTAAACTCCCCTTGAGTCCCTCAATCTCAGCTCTATAGACATTACTCATCTGCTCTAAGTCAATCTTCTTCTCACTTGCTTCATCCAAAGCCAACACCAGCTTCCTTCTCTCCTCTTCAAACTCACGGTTCTTCTCTTCTCCATCAACTCTAAGCTTATCGTTAACTCCATTCAAACGCTTGAGAATCAAATCCTTTTCTCTCACACAACGCTCAAGATCCTCGTTGGTTCGCTTCAACTCAGAGATTTCTCTACTTTTCTCCTCGGATTCAAAACTTTGCTTCTCGATTACTAACCTCGCCTCTTGAATCTCTGTTAACTGCTTGTTCTGAACCTTCTTTAGGTTTTCGAGAAGCTCCGTTTTGGCTCTGAAGTCTGCTCTGAGCTTCTCGTTGGCGGATTTGACTTCATCTAACTCTTCGTACACCTTCTCCATTGTTAAAGCTAAAAAACACTTTCACTGTTTACAAAAGCAAATCGAACAACAAATTTGAGCAAATCGAAATCCGAGCAGATAATCACAACTTCTAAGAACCCTAAAACTAAATTATCAATCTCAATCCAGAATCTAACCCTAACCAATCTACAAATCTCAGGTACCTGATTCGAAATACAGAATCTTCAAACCGAAACTTTCATCAATAAATCGATTTATTTGAGAGAGAGAGAGAGCAAGAAAATGAGAGGAATCAAAAGTTAGGGATTGTTTTTCGAGAGAAAGGAGCCGTTGGAGAAGAAAGGGGAAATGGTTTTAAATTTCAAAATGTGCAAAACGGAGATCTGGTTTATACCGTTAACTGACTTTCCGCTCAATAAGCCCATTTTTATTATGTGGGCTTTTACGAATCTCAACCCATAATTTCTTTTTCCTATGGGTAAGACGATCTGAGAATTTTTTTTTTTTTTTTTTGGGAAAATCGCGTGAAAAACTTTCAAATTGACACATACTACCACATCTAGCACTTTAAACCTTAAGTTTTTTCACTAGCAATTTAATCTTTCAAAGTGACATTTATGTCAAAAAAACCTTGAACTTGAAAATGTGATCTGTTGAACAGGTAAAACAAGTCATTTATTAAGTTTTTTTTTCAAAAAATAAATTTCTAATAAATAAAAATTTAATAAATGATCAAAAATGAATGAAAATCACTTAATTTCAGAACATAAAAAAATTTATAAATTTTTTTTTTCAAATATCAAAAATTAAATAAATTTCTGAAAATTAAACAAAAAATTAAAGAAAATTCACAAATTTGAACTTTTTTTGAAAATTCATTTGATTTTTATTTATTTTTTGATTATTTATTAAATTAATATTTATTAAATATTTATGGCTAGGAAAAAAACCTGATAAATTACTTATTTTATTTATTAGTTTTTTCAGAGAAATAAATATTTAATAAAATAGAAATATAATAAATATAATAAATAATCAAATAAATAAAAATAAATTTAATTTTCAATAAAAAGTTAAAGAAAATTTCAGAAAATAAAGAAAAATTTACGAAATAAATAAATTGAAATACAAAAAAAATAAATAAAATTCAGAGAATTAAAAAAAAATTCAAGAAGATTCACAAAATTGAAAACTCAAAAGTTCAAAATATTTTTTTGAACATTACAAGATTATGTTTTTAACTATTTGAAACCATCAACTTCAACAATGATATGTTTGATTTTTTTTTTGTCAACGATGATATGCCAATGAGGTTTTTTATGCGATTTTCCCTTTTTTTTTTTAACAAACACTATCGGCTTATCTAGTCGGTCCAGAAGAAACGCACTTAGTATTATATAGTGGATTGGTTATCACACTGTCTGACCCGAATTTGGAATAATTTCTAATTAATATTTCTAACTAATGTCACGAGGTGAACCGATCATCTGTTACAATCCACCATGTAAATAATTAAGACCGAAACATGAACCCAAACTTGCAAGTAATAATAATTTAATTCCTAGAGAATTGAATCCAAAATTGATGTTGGTCAAGCCCCAAAAAGTTACCACTAAACTAGAAGTTACCACTAAACTATCATCACTTGATTTTGGTTATGATCGACAAAAATTATTGTGCAAGATGATGCTAAACTGCAACTTCCACGTTATCGTTGAAAAACTTGTTACGTTTACGTACACATGTATTTTATTCATACGTCAACGTTATGTTAGAGAATATGGCCTACACGAACAAAAGCTATTGTATTGTTTACTCTTTTTATATAAGTTTTATTGTGTAACGTTTTATACAGAATCAAAGCATGTAATGATAATAATTACGAGAGGATTTCTATAGTATCTACTATATGACACGTATATGTGCTAATATGGATAACTACTATACGTTAGCAAGAAACGATATACATGTACGCAATTTGAGAGATGTGATGAAGGTTTGACATTGTATAATTAGTTGGCTAATGAAATGATTTGGCGTGTGATGGCAAATTAAAAGAACTAGGAATTAAATAATTTGTATGATAATTTCTCCTACGTGTGTGTGGATTAACTAGTTGGTGTCTTTAATTTCTCGACAACACAACAACACCAACGAGAGGCAACCACAAGCTGTTGAAAAGAGCACCCATTACTTTTAATTGCATGTTCATGACATATTTGACAATTTTTAATAGTACATGATTAATTGCATTATATTAAATTAATCTTAAATTAGCTTTTATCGTTTTGATGATGTTGTTGTTGCATTTGATCTGACTTAACAATCCACTTATAAACTGGACTATAATATTTTATTGGATACTATGTTAATTGATATCTATAAGCAGCAGGTAAGACCAAAACGATACACTAATAAAAAAAACTAGAGGCTATATAAATCACACTTATCCGATAAACGCCGATTATCATTCATAACAAGTAACCAAACACATAACACAAGTCTCTTTTACATGACATATTATCCAGTTTTGTAATATTTCCCACAACGTTACTTATTATTACGACAAGTAAAAGCCAAATTAATTTTGGTGGTCAATTCAGAATCAGTTACAGAAGAGAAACCATATGCAAATGTTTCTAGAACATTTGCTAAAATTATATATTATATAGTCTTATCTCTAAAATCATAAGATTTTCCTCGTAACCACCAAAAAACTATAGGCAGATAACAAAAGGCAGATGAGATTGCCACGTGTCAGTAACGTGAGCCTCATACACACGCAAAACCGGATTGGATAAAATATTACACATCATCAAATTTTGTACGGTTAAGGATCCACTTGTCAATGAATCAACGGTAGATAGCGAACTCTTCCCCTTTTTCCTTATGATTAATTAAAGTAAATAATGTAATCGTAAGCTTAATGATTGGAGGTGACGATCGTGAAACTGTGACCGTTGGATCAAACTTAAAACCAAAAGTTTCGAGAAATGGAATTATAAATTGCAGAGGAAGAAAGAGAAGAAGACGGCTAGCTCTTGAGTAGAAGAGACACATTTGGTCGGAGAGAGAGATGATGGAAGAGGACGATACATAAAAAGAAAGTTTTGATTTTTTAATTCACTTTCTGGTGTTTGGTTTGGTTTGGTTTCTCAAATCTTTGCTTCAATGGTTTGTGTCCGAATGGTGACGACAGACACTTTGGTATTTTAGCTAAGATTGCGACTCTTGTCAGAAAAAAGCTAATCTCTTTCAACCCAGCTCGAAAGTTTGATCCTTTATTTAGAATCTTGGAGATTTTGATTCTTTGAAATGATGAAGAGAAAGATTCCGACTTGGCCTTGGTGGTTGTTAGGTGGTAAAAAGGAGAAAGAGACGGAAGCTCTTAAGTTCCCTGCAAAGATTAATCGAGACAAAGGAAGAGTTATCAAGAGGAAGGAGATGGAACTTGAGAGCTTTGGTTCTTCTGGCTCTGAATCTGCAGCTCAGGATGGGCCCGAGTGGTCTGTTGGATGGACTGAGCCACATGGACCTGGTTTCCAAACCGATGAAGAAGGAGATGATGGTGGCTTCTTAGTTTTGGTTCCTTGTTACAAAGCTGTTGTTGAAGGTTCTAGTAATAACCAGCTCTTGTCTGCTGTCAAGAATCTCCCCAACGGTTGGTCTCCTGGTATGAACTCTATTATCTCTTTTGGGGTTCATATAAAGGCTAATGCTTGTTGCTTAGTATCATGAGAATGAGATATATAGTTGCTCTCTTAGAGGTTTCTTTATGTATCTATCTCCATGTGCAATGAACTACACAGTATTTGCTATTGATGTTTCAACAGTTTTCTCCTCATCCAAAGTGCTCAAGTTTTTCAACCAAAATGCGCAGATGGGAAGAACTATATGGAGCAATGGCTTTCATCTCTGCAGAACCTTTGACCAGGTCTCCTTCCTTTTGTAGTTAGTTAAGTAGTTTAAGTTCTCTAATACCATTTTGGTTACCACATTAACCCTGAAAAACTCCAAAAAAGAGAAAAAGAAAAAGAAGAAAAAAAAAGAAGCTCAAGTAGTTTTTACAAGTTTAGATTAAGATGATGGGTATTGTTTATATTTGATCCTGGAAACGGATTCATCACCAAAAAAAGCAAAAAAGAAAGAGTTCAAAAAACAATGTGTGGGATTGGAAAAGCTATGAAGAATATGCAGCTTTAGAGTTCTTATGAAGATGATGTAAGTTGGTTACACAATGAAAGAGGGTGGAGAACAATTAACATTGATCCTGGGAAAGGAATAGGGTTTTATATCAAGATGATGGAGTTGATGGTATGGAAGAGGATTGATTACTCATCCTGAGTTGGAAAAACTCATGTAAAAAGAGTCTTCAATGTAAATACTCACAAGAGTGATGTATATAACTCTCTTCTTCTTCCTCAAGATTTGAGTTTGAAGTGATTGCAGATTGTACGTAATTTATTAACTACCACTGATCATTTTGTATATAGAAACAGTAATGCTACTGTATTTATCTAAAAAGTAATGTATTCATTGGTGTCAAAAGAATGAAAAGTATATAATTATACTGTAATTGGCATAGTAAAAGAAACTGACTAAACCACAGGATGGAACAGAGTACACAATACACAAAAAAATAATGAATTTTCCTGAAAGAATGTAATCTTGGTTGGTGTTTTGTTATAAGCTAGATATTTAAAAACTTACAAGAGGTGTACATACTAGCTTCTTCGTTTTTTGCTTGGGACCGTATCTACTGGTTGGAAAAAAGACTAAAAGATTCTTTGATCAGTACTTGATGACATGGTGGCGTAACCATAGTTCATACATGATCATGTGAAATGCATCGAACTTGACTGGTGGTGAGTTCCATTGAAAATGCTTTTGCACCTGCACAATAAAAAGACCAATCAGCTTCTTGTTATACAAAGACAAGGGTGAAATTTGTCTGTACCTTGACTAAGTTGTTATGCAACGAAACAAACTCTGATTGTGGTATGTTCTTGAGAATCTGCTTGAGGTTATACACATCTCGCTCTCTGAGTACAACCGCAAACTTTCTCCAATTCAGGATGTCGTTGAAAGGAAGGTCATAGTAGTCTGACAATATAACTGATCCAAAACAAACAACAAGAAGCATAAGTTTTAGTCTCTTCTTGAGTAGAGAAAAGAGTATAAGAGAACAGTTACCAGGAACACATCCGTAATGGATTGAGTCAGTAATCCGAGCACTGTTGACTTGAGAACCACCAGGACATATGCAGAACTTAGTTCTGTAGAATCTCTTCTGATATACTAAATGCCCTGTAGCTCTGTTTATTCTGTTGTTTGAAATATCAAGCTCTGTGTCGTTCTCCCACACACGTGCTAGTATTACACGTATCTTGGAGTTTCTATGACCAGCCCAAAAACCAAGTGTCGTCCTGTAACACCACCGTTTAATAGTATCAGCAACATCGAGGAAACAACTACTAAACCAAATCCCAGCAACAGTATCAGCAACATCAAGCTGATTTTTTTGAAAAATTGGTCTAGGCTAGGCGTTAAAAAAATCGGTGTAGGCACCCGCCTAAACAATAATCCTCTAAACCACCGCCTAAAGATTTCTTGACCATTGGATGTATCAATCAAACACAGGCACTAACAGCAAATACTCTAGTTTCTTAAATGTGAAATGACACAATAATCAATAATCCTCTAGTCACCCGCCTAATAATAATCCTCTATAAGGTGCCTAACCCTTTCTTTACCTAGTGTACCAATCAAAAACAGGCACTAACAGCAAATACTCTACTTTCTTAAAAAGTAAAATGACACAAGACGCAACTGCTAAATCAAGTCCTAATAGCAGATAAGGCTATGAAACTTGAACATCATCATAGTTTTTCCATAGACATAGAGAGGACTAGTGCTTAGTTACTGGATGTATCAATCAACCACATCCACTAAACTGCAAACACTCTTCTTTCCCAAATGTGAAACAACACAAAAGAGCTAGTGTTTTTTTTACCGATTCTCAACATCATTCCCACCAGCAGGGAGAGCAAAAGGCTGAAGCACTTGAGGCAAAGCAACATCTTTATGAGGAATAAACCCAACATTATAACTCGGCGAACACACAACCCTAATAGTATTCTTAATCATAACCGGAGACCCCTCAAACGCTCTAACACCAACGTCATGACACGTCACAAAAAAATGATCCGCTCCCAAACTCCTATTCCAGTAAGGATACTTCACTATCAACCCATCAACGTAGTCTTGAACAATCACAGTCATGTTCTCATAAGACGTCCCCTGCCCAAAATAAAAAAAAAAGCATCAAACTTTAAATGAAGATAGTAACAAAGAATCAAACTTTACATGAAAATAGTAATAAATATCAAAATTTACATGAAGATAGTAATAAAGCTTCAAACTTTAAATGAAATTAGTAATAAAGAATCAAACTTTAAATGAAAATAGTAATAAAGAATCAAACTTTACATGAAGATAGTAATAAAGCTTCAAACTTTAAATGAAATTAGTAATAAAGCATCAAACTTTAGTAATAAAGAATCAAACTTTAGAGTCGTAAAGGTTCATACTTTGCCACGCATCTTGTGAGGGGAAACAGGGACGAAGAAGAGATGAGCTTCCTCCGGATCCAACGTAACGAAGTGAGACTCTCTGATGTTTTGGAAGAAGTAACCTTCGCTGGCGTATTTGCCGGTGACTTTCCTCGGGGTTTGGTAGAAAGTGTTGGGATCTCCGTCGGGGTAGATGAAGACTTTGAATTCCCTCTCCATCTCCGCGTAATTGAGCCTGAACGAGTCTGGAGAGTGGTAGACATCGGAGTAGTCTTCGTGCGGAGACTGAATCGTGGAGTCTACGACGATGGGAGAGGGTGTGGGAGTGCGTAGGGAGTTGAGAGAGAGGTAGGAGAGGGAGAGGAGAGTGAGGACAGCGACGGTTAGGAGTGAGCCTTTGAGGGAACATAACGGCGAGGAAACGGCGGAGGGATGCGACGGTTTAGTGAGCGTCATTGGACGGATCTAATAAGCTCTGTTGGATTTTGGGGAAGTTCGATCTCTGCATTTTGGTTCTTTTAGCTGTCTTTTGACACTATGCTCACATGGGCTATTATTGCTTTTTTTTTTTTACATGGGCTATTTCATTAAAGGGGTTATATGTGAAATAAATAATAACAAAAAATGTATTATTGTATTTTCTCAGTATCATCAATGGTATATGAGATATTTTTAGAATTAAATCGTTTAATTCAGTTTGCAATATTCATTCCGGCTAAGTGAAATTAGGTAAATCTAAGGTAAAATAAAAAAAATTCTAAACCGTAACTAAACTAGGTGTTTTCCTAAAATATTATAATTTAAAATGATAAATTTTAAAAATTTGTTTTAGTAATAAAAAATATAAAAATAAAATAAAATTAATATTCCCAAAAATTTAAAATATTATTATATTTCTATTTCTACTTTATATTATTTATTATTATATTGATAATGATTTATGTGTTGTTATCATATTCAAAAAAATTACCAAAAAATATAAATTAACATTAAATGTAAATGTTCGTGTCACAGTTATCTTGAAACCATGTCATTATTGTTAATATGTCAAGTCTTTATTTTTCTTTCAAAATTAATGTGGTAATGAAACATAGCAAATCATTTCTCGGTTAATGTCTAGAAGATATTTCTAAAATAGATTTCGGATATCGTCATCACTAAATATTACTTATGGGAAGATGAAATCGGAGTAGGAAAATGAAATTGTTCTAATAATTTTTTAAACAACATAACCTTTAAAACGCAGTTGTATTGGATGTAACGGTCATTACTCGTATTTAATAGTTGATTTTTGGAATTTTATAGCAGCCGGTATATAAAAGTTGAATAATTTTATTTTGGTTCAAACAAGAATTAGAAGTTTACTTGGATTTAATTTGGAAAATTGAGAATTTTTAACAGTTGTTTTCTCAGTTATTAGACTAAATGCATTATACAATAGATTCGAATTTTAAAATAATAAGAAACCACATGCAATTAGTATAATTGTTTTTATCATAATAAAGAGATAAAATATATATGCATAAATCTAGATGACCAGGAGCCGAGTTAGCCAAATTATTTAACTAAATACATTATACAATACATCTTAAAACCACATGCAACAATATATATAGGTGCTTTCTTCATCATAATACATAAAACAAATATATATGCATCTCACATGAATCCTTAATTATCCATGTGCAAAGCAAGGATATCTATTAGTCAACTCTAATACAAAAAACACTTACACAGCGAGTAATGATAATTAGATGTATTTCTGCATCATATATATAAATTAAAAAATTTAAATATATACATACATATTATTAAATAAAATTTTCAATAATTTTTTATTTTATTTTATCATAATTTTAAATTTAATTTAATTATAAAATTAATATAAATAAATATTTATTGCAATTTTTATTTAATGATATGTATGCATATATTTAAAATTATAATCTTGGAAATATTTTTATCTATTTCTCTTAGCTAAAATATAGTCAATTAAATTCTATAAAATCAAAAAAGAAATTGTTAGGTGTATAATTATCAAAACATAAACTAAATTAATATTTATAAAATTTCGAGATATTAAAAATAAAAAAACTAATTGTATTAGGATTAGAAAACAATAGTTTTAAAAATAAAAAATTGCATAAAATTTTGAAGGATTTTTAAGATATAAAAATAATATCTTAAAAATTTGTACAATATTATTATATTTCTATTATATTACTTATTATTATATTAATGAGAATATATGAGTTTTTACCATCTTTAAAAAACTTACAAAAGATATAAATCAACATTAAATGTAAAGGATCATGTCATAATTAATTTGAAACCATATCATTATTGTTAATATGTCATGTTATCATTTTTTAAAATCAATGTGGTTGTAACACATGGAAAATCACTTCTCAAAAAATGTATAAGAAATCTTTGGTCAAAGAATGAACAAGTCTATTAAATCCATCTAAATCTATTAAGATTAAGTAGATTTGTGGTCAGAGAATAACAAATCAATCAATATGTAATTAAATATGTCAAAGACAAATAAATATGTGGCCAAAGAGAAAATAAATGTATCAAAAGTTATATAATTTTGACTGAATATCAATTTTTTTTAATCTGTTTATATTAAGTAAATTTGCGGTCAAAGAAATTAAATCTAACAATTCCTAATTCAATATGTAAAAATCTAATAAATATGTGGTCAAATAAAACAATTTTTTTATAAAAACCCAGTGAAAATTTTATCAAGTCTATAAATTTCAAATAAATCTGTTAACAAAGAAGAATAAAACTAAGTTTGTGGATATACACCTGGACAAAATAAGTTTGTCAGTGCTAAAATCGTTAGTATTCAAAAGAAAAATCGCAATTACACTTTCGTAATTATTATTTTTTTTTAACAAAGAAAATAGGACTAGAATGGGTATAAAAAACAAACTAATAATTACAAATATAATTAAATAAGTAATTAATCAATAAATAAAGGTTAAACTAGTTTTTTTTTTTCCAAACAATGTTACAACTTGTTACGTTCATTGTGAATGCAGTACAAAACTTCACAATGTAATAACACACGCTTTGATAAAAATTAAGAAACTTAACAATTTTCATCAGGAAGTTTTCCATTAATATTACAAAAAAATATCTATTATGACAAAATAAGAGATATAAAAGGACAATCAAAAAAGGAAGCTCAAATCTCTTCCGTGTTCTTATTTGAAACCGAGTCATATTAGAACTCTAATGTCACAAGTCAAAGTAACTCATAGTTAGGTTTTGGTGCACCTATTCCCGTTTAGTCTTGGACTTTGTTTAACAACAAAAAAATACACACACATATATATAAATATGGATATCTCCGCAGACAACTTATTCTTACATTAAATTCGATCTTGAGATTTGGAAAAGAAAAAAAAGATGATTTCGCAGAAGAAGATAGCTTCGTCGATGATATGTTTCCTTCTGTTGTTTCTTCTCCCGATAGCTTTTTCTGAGCCGACAAGGTCAGTTTATCTTTTGATCTTCGTGATATATTACGTTACGGTTAAGTATACACATACACATATATGTATGCGCATAAAGTATACATGATTCTCAAATCTCACGCATATTACGTTTGTTAGCAGTTGTGATTTTCGTATGAGTTTGAAGGTAGTCTAGATTTTGTTATAGAAAAATAGTTTTACTAACAAGTCCTTGAAGGTTACACAGTTCTTTGTATCTAGCTAATTAACATTCGAAACAAACTTTTATTGCGTTATAATTAACTCCATTAATTGTATGTATGTGCACTGAGCGTTTTCAATTCAGTTCATTAACGTTATTTAATTGTTATTATTGAACTTCTACAGGAACTTACAGGGAATAAGTGCAAGAGCTCCAACAGTGCAGCAGATAAGAAACGAACATGGAACTAAAGAGGTATATACACCATGTCTTCAATCAATAAAAGTAGAAAAAATATTATGCAAATATATATATACATTCTAAGGGCTTAAAATTAACTAGTATAAATTACTTATTTTCTTCAGGTGATAGTGGACAATGGAATTTTCAGAGTGACTTTCTCGAGTCCTCAAGGATTAATAACCGGGATGAAATACAAAGAGATCGACAATGTTCTTAATCCATATCTCCGAGCTCGAGGGTAATTAATTTTAGTGATTTTCTATTAGTAATCAAAATAGTATATGAAAATTGTCATGCTTACTTAATTCTGGTTTAATGTTAATCAGGTACTGGGACATTACATGGCAAGGAAAAAACATTCTCCCAAACTTGGATAGGTAATTAAATATTTAATTTAATAATTTGTCTTTTTTTTTGTTGACAACTTAATAATTTGTCTAAAGTTGTCAGTTGAACATGTTCACATTTATAGAGCATGTAAATAGGCTTGATAATTTATTTTCAAGAATAATATAGTCTTTGTAACTTACAAAGCTATTTTATCTTTGTTCATCAGAATCGAAGGAACCAACTTTAGAATCATAACTCAAAACGAAGAACAAGTGGAGATCTCGTTCTCTCGACAATGGAATGGCGGTTCTGATCATATTCCATTAAACGTAGACAAGAGATTTATTATACGTACCAATACTTCAGGAATCTACACGTATGGAATCTTCGAGAGACAACCCGAATGGCCAGAAGTTGAGATGGGTCTAATTCGAATCGCATTCAAACTCAACCCTGACAGGTATTTTATATGTTTTCATACTTGTTTGCGTAACAAAAGTTTATTAAAATTTGGTGTAAATATGTTTGTAGATTCCATTACATGGTGGTGGCAGATAATCGGCAAAGACAAATGCCAAGAGACGATGACCGTGACATCCACAGTGGCCGTGCCACGCCCCTTGCTTACAAAGAGGCTGTACAATTGACTAATCCTCACAACCAAATGTTCAAAAATCAGGTAAATAGTTTTTCTATACAATTAAAAAGCTCTAAACTAAATTAGGATACGGATTATAAATCTTTTAAACTTAACTCGAGTATTGAACATTCAAATTAAATAATATTAGGTGGATGATAAGTACCAGTACTCATGTGAAGTCAAGGACAACAAGGTGCATGGTTGGATCTCGACCAAGTCCAATGTCGGTTTCTGGCTCATCTCACCGAGCAGCGAATACCGCTCTGGTGGACCGGTCAAACAGGAGCTCACGTCTCACGTTGGTCCCACGACCCTCACGGTAAAGATTGATCCAAAACTGATCACTATATCTTAGCTTATAGTTTTCTTTTAATTTTTAACTAATTGATTTAATAATGCAGACTTTTATAAGCACACATTATGTTGGAGGTACGGACATGGATACAAGGTACAAAACTGGCGAAGCGTGGAAAAAGGTCTTGGGACCTGTTTTCATTTACTTGAACTCTGATTCTTCCGGCAATAATCCACAACATTCGTTATGGGAAGATGCTAAACGACAGGTTTACTATAGTTTTGTTATAATCTTAGTTTTAAATTAATACGTAACTTATGAAAGACGAGACGTTAATCTCGTTATATTTACTCTTCAGACCGAACAAGAAGTTGAAGCCTGGCCGTACGATTTTGTAGCATCTGCTGACTTTCCTACTCGTCAAGAAAGAGGAACCATTACCGGT